TCTGGGACCGAGGGGTAGGAGTGTTGTGGGGGAGAGAGGTCGAGGGTATGCAACTTCATCGGGTGCAAAGGGATGTGGGAAGCGACCTTGCTTTAATGGAGGTTGGGTTATTGCGAAGGATAGCGGGGAGGCCTTGGTGGTGACCCCCATTCAGATTGTCAACCAGAAGGAGGCTTTGTTGGCAAGGGGGGATGAAGACTTGGCTGCTCACTACTCGGATTGGGTTCGGCGGAATTTTGTCAAGGTGAGTAAGATGTTTGGGATGGGTTTTGAGGATTTGGAACATAAGGTGTTGAGTTTATTGGCTGAACTTGAAAGCAGATTTATGGAAGCTGAAAAGGAAAAGAAAAAAGAAAAGAGGAGTAGAACAAAAAAGGGGGAGGGGGGCAGCAGAGAATTGAAGATGTTAGAATGGGCGTGGAATTATGAAGAGAAAAAAAGTAGGAAGAGAGGGGAATGGGAGATTTCTGATGTATTAAATTAATGATTGGTAAAACCATTTCCTATAACGTGAGGGGGATACATGAGGTTAAAAAGAGAGGGGTTATTAAAGGGTGCCTGAAGAGGTGGAAACCGGATGTTGTTCGTCTTCAAGAAACTAAATCGGAGGAGATAAATAAAAAGGTGATTAATTCTTTGGGTAGCTATGTGTTTGCTTCTAAATTGAAGACTCTAAAAAATGAAATTAAGAGATGGGCGAGGGTGGAGGAGGGTAGGCTTGAAACGATCTTAAAGGATAATCTTACTGAGTTGGAGGATTGTGACAGAAGGGAGATGGGTGGTATTTTGGGTGAGAACGGAAGGGTGAGGAGGGAGCATTTAAGGAAGGAAATAGCTGAGGTTATGCATTTGGAGGCAATCTCGCGGAGACAAAAGGTTAGGGAGAAATGGCTTAAAGAGGGGGATAGAAACACTTGGTACTTCCATTGCATGGCAAATTCTCATCAAAATAATAATTATGTGGAAGAATTATGGTGTAATGGTGAGGTGGTTAGTGGTAATGAAAATATGAGAAAGATGACAAGTCTGTTTTTTCAACAACTATATAAGGAAGAGGAGCAGAGAAGACCCAATCTTGATAATCTGCATTTCGAGATATTGTGTGATGAAAGTAGAGATGGGTTAGCAGAGCCATTCACTGAAGAGGAAATTAGAGGGTGTCTTGATGAGTGTAATGGGGATAAGGCGCTAGGCCCGGATGGTTTCAACATGAAATTCTAGCAAGTCTTTTGGGATGTAATAAAGAATGATGTGGTTGTTGTTTTCAATGATTTTCATAGTGCTGAGTCTTTTGTTAACTCTATCAATTCAACCTTCTTGGTTCATATTCCTAAGGTGGCTGAGTGCGAAAGATATTAAAGATTTCAGACCAATTCGTTTGGTGGGGAGTATCTACAAATTGATTTCTAAAGTTCTTGCAAAGAAACTCTCTAAGGTGCTGGGTGAGGTTATTGGTGAAAACCAAAACGCGTTTGTGGAGGATAGACAAATCCTTGATGCTGTAATAATTGCTAGCAAATTGTTGGATGAATTGGTTGGGCAAAAAAAAGAGGGCATTTTGTGTAAAATTGATATAGAAAAGGCGTATGATCATGTTTGTTGGGATT